AAAAAGCGGCAGGCCCCCCCCCCCCCCCCCCGCCGGCCCTGGGGTCCCTGCTGCTCCCCAGCACGCTCCCCGCCGGGCACGGCTGGTAAACACTAATCTAATATGCATGCTTAATCCGCTGCAACTGTTGTGAGATTAATTGAACCCTGCAAGAGCACATTGTCCGGGCTAAATAAAACCGGGGCCTCATCCCGAGCAAGATGCTATCGGGGATTGTGCCGCAGCCGATGCCATGTGTGGAGGACCGGGAGATGGGAGAGTCAGAAGCAAGGGACAACCTCCTGGGCAGTCACCACCGTGGTCCTATAGCATCCTCCCCTGTGGCTCCAGCACCATGGGAACATCCCCACGACGGGGGCTGAGCCTCCTGGGCTGCACCGCAATCCTGCGGATGCCTGGATGTGCGTGCTTGGGTTTCCCTTTCCTCCCCACCTTCTCCCACTCCAGCTTTAGGAGAAACCCCAAGACCAAGCAGCATCCCTCCCCACAAAACAACAGTTTGTTTCCAGGGCCCGCCAAAATAGATGGGACATTCTGAAAAACACCTTTTCTTTTCCTTTTCATGGACATGCTCATCTCTGGGCAAGGCTTCTCCAGCCTTCCAGGCTCTTCCCATCAATCAGCAGAGCAGGATCCAGCCCCGACGGCAGAGGACAATCCGCAAGTGTGCAGAATGTGACCCAGGCTTGGACTCAGTATCCCCTGGGCATCACCCGCTGCCCAGCTCAGCAAAGCACAACGCCTCTGCCTCCGCAGCAGGCAGGGCCCGCTCCTCCCCGTGATGCCGGGCTCTGCGTGGGACATCCCCTTGCCCTTCTCACCCCCTCCGAGCCCGGGGTTTGCACTGTGGGGTGCCGGCTGGCGTTGCAACATGCTCTTCACGTCTGCAACGCTGCAACCGCCCACGTGCTCGGCCCCAGGCCCCGGCTTTCCACGCAACAGCCGCTGGGCATGGGGACAAGCCGCAGCAAGCGTGGCAGCTCGCCCGGGTAAGTGCACCTGCACCGGCTGCCTGCATGGTTCCCAGCACAGAGGGGCTGTGCCGGTGGGTTTGGCTCTGCCGCTGCCTGCATCCCCATCCCCATCCTCATCCCCATCCCTGCCTGCATCCCTGTTCCTGCCTGCATCCCCATCCCCATCCTCATCCCCATCCCTGCCTGCATCCCTGTTCCTGCCTGCATCCCCATCCCCATCCTCATCCCCATCCCTGCCTGCATCCCTGTTCCTTCCTGTATCCCCATCCCCACCCCTGCCTGCATCCCTGTTCCTGCCTGTATCCCCAGCACCATCCCTGCCTGCATTCCCGGCACCGTCCCTTCTTTCATCCCCATCCCTGCCTGCATCCCTGGTACACACCGTCCCTTTCTGCGTCCCCATCCCTGTCCCCCTCGCTGTCCTGACTCCGCACGCATGCCCATGCTGAGGGGAAAACATGGATACACTCCTTCTGGCACCAACACGGCTTTTCCACAACTTCCCATCAGGAGGAAAGTTTCCACGAAGCTGAGCAAACACCCAGGGAAATGGGGCCTGGCTGTGTTTTTTCTTGTCTTTTCCTATTTTTTTCTCTAAGTCATAAATTTTCCCCGAGGTGTTTGGGTTGCAAACCGCGTGGGCATGAGGATAAGGGACGGCCCCGAACCCGATGGGATTTCTCAGTGCTTGAGCCCAGAAATGCCCAAAACAAACAGAGCTCGGGTGCCCACAGGATCCGGCTGTGGCCGTGGCACCAACCCAGGCCCTTTGCAGGATGGGACAAGCTCCGTGGCAGGCGAAGGGGGTTTTGGGGGGCACACTGCACCCTCCTGGCAGCACCTCCAAAAAATAACCCCCCAACACGACCCAAACTCCACTGGAATTTTTTTTTTTCTTTCTTTTTCTTTTTCCTTTCTTTGGGTTAATTTGTCCCAGCCGCTCGGGGCTGCGTCTGTTTTCCTCCATCTGGTTTCCATTAGGCCTGTGCAGCCCAGATGAATAAGTAATAATATAAAAATAAAAGGATTAGTATTTTCTCCTTGGCTGGCGGGAGCGGGGGCCCCCCGCCCTGCCTCCTGGGGCCAGCGGATGCCGGACCCTGTACACCCCCGCATGACCCTGAGCTCCCCTATTTGTCACACCGGAGGGTTTAACCTCCAGCACGCTGTCCCGGGCACAGTCCCCGCTGGGGGGACACACCAGCGCAGCCGCTACTGGCTGATAAAGTCCTGCTTGGAAGCACCAGCAGCCCCTGAATCACTCGCCCTGGCTTGTGCATCGCTCTTACCGGGTGGAAGATGCAGGAGAACCTGTTAGCCGGTCCCCTGCCTCCCAGCGGTCGTCTGGGTGCTCCCCAGCAGGCAGTGTGGGATGCTGGAAAGCACCAATGCATGGCACCATGCGGCTGTGCATGCTGGTGGGCACCAACACACAGCACTGTGCAGCTGTGCACACCGGCAGCCACCAACGCACGGCATCACACAGCCGTGCACACCACTGGGCACCAACGCGCACCCCAGTGGGCACCAACGCATGGCATCCTGCAGCCGGGCATGCCAGCGGCCATCAACACATGGCATCCTGCAGCCATGCATGCCAGCAGGCACCTATGCATGGCACGCTGTAGCCTGGTGCCTGATGGATGGGCCCAGCAGCCCATCCAGCCCAGGGTCTGTTGTTTCCCACGGTCCCGGGGAGCCCGTCCCGCCGCTGCAGGCTCTGCCCCAGCCTGGGGCACCCGTCCTCCCCAGGCAGCGAGCGGCCCCTGCTCTCTGCGACCTTGGGCAGGACCAGGGACAAGCTGGGGATGGTGATAGGGACGTGAGCCCGATGACTGCAGAGCACCAAGGCTGGCTGCTCTACTCTCCGCCTCCCCAGGGACAGGGATGGAGAGGGCAGGGAGCTGCCCCAGCTTCGGGCGTTGGAAAGCTCTGGCTTCCCACAGCTCCCCCCCCCTCCCAGGCTGGGCAAAGCTTCCCGGGAGAGGAAGGGGTTAAAAGGGAATTAAAAGACCAGCATCCTTCATGCTCTCCAAATGGCCACAAATGAAATCCAGATGCTGGAGGCGACGTCTCCCGAAGCCAGGCTGCCTCCGAAACAAAGGCGAGC